CTGCACTTGAAAATACACTAACACACCTTCATACCCTGGTAGTTTCTTCGGTCAGGCAAAGCATATAGGAGCATGGAGGAACATATTTTTGACCGGCTTCCTTTCTTTGAATATGATTACAAATAATTGAGCAGGAAAACCTTCTCTTCAGGAGCTACTGTTCCTATTTCTACAATGCAATTGTCCTTTTCCAAATTCATCTTGTCCATCTTTTGGTTGAGAAACAGAATTTCTAAGACCTATAGCAATTCTATAGATACCAAATTCACTGGTTTTATAGAGAAGTGATAAGACAACAGTCATGACTATTGGATAAAAGAACTCTACCATAATTTCTCCAATACAACAGACTCCGGAAAAGAGCTCAATATAGCCACAGCATTAAGTGAATATCCTCTGTGGAAAGTTATGGTTCTCTACAGAACAAAATGATCATTTAAACTTCACAATAGTGCAATTTAAACATCAGAGCACCATCCAAATACATGATAAAACAGGCAATTAGAGATATTTGCTTTTTCTAAAATGAGGACAAACTCATTTTAAGGATCTCATCTTTCTTTCTGGAATGCAATATGAACTGATTTGACAACTTCACATATACCTTTCTGGGTAGCCGTCAGCAGTCAAAAGCTTCTCAGCCAAGTTCTTTACTTTCTCATGAAACAGTGACTGCAAATTCTTCTTCTGCAAGACAAATCTGTCTTTAGTAAGGCATGATTACGGAAACTATGAGAAAGCAACCAATCATGTATGGGAAGTAGGTAACTAGAGAAATAATCATCTAGAAGCTACATCTCCATTCAATTCAATCAGTAATGAAGAAATGCAATCAAGTAGATCAAAAGTAAATCAGAACTTCCACCATGGAGTTTATTGTAGGAACGCAAAAAGTCACCTATTTTCTGACAAGAAATCAGGATGCAATGGAAAATGCTTGCATATGTATATCATGGACCCTATACCTGCAACTCAGTTGCTTGATACAACGGTGTCCCCTTCAGCTCTAAAAGCTCTTCATCAGAAAACCAGAGGGAACTCGTGAATGTGGTCGGAAGCAAATCAAAATACCTGACAGAATAAGACAAATGATCACTTCAATGTCATTCTAAAAGTCATTTAATCTCCAGAAAAGGCTGTACATACGGCTTCCAAGAAGAGTTCCTCCGCAGACGTTCCACAGTTAGAAACAAGATAACCAGGAACCTGTCATCCACCGCTTCTTCATCACACATTGCTCTACATTCAGGTCCAAACAATGGATCTTGTAGTACCCTCGTTGGAGTTATTGCTAAATTTAGTGGAACCACCAATAAAATTCCTAGATCCATCCACAACAAGAAATGGTACACATGAAAAGCCTATCGCCTGATATTTTTTTAAAAAAAAATTAAAACAAGAAAATTGAAAGTGGTTTGAAGTTATTACTAGGTTCATTTTCAGCAAGACCAAGATATCATCTGAATCATAACACTAGTCATATTGGTAGATAGTTGAGTCCGTGATAACCAAAAAAATGACAACTTTCCAACTCCCATCAACTTGAAATCGGTGTATATGTTCTATAGGGTCTCAAGTTACAAACTTTATGCTTATTCACTTAACTTCCTTTCTTTTTCTCAGATTTGTCTACGGCCATGAGCAATTAAACCAATCATTTTGAACTTTTGTGACACACTAAAGTACATAGTTTAAGCCTAAAGGAAAATCAGCATACAAAGAAAACAGAAAAATACCATCAGAAACATTGTCTGCAGAAAAAATTCCGAACCCTTTAGTGGAATCACAGTATTTGATATTGCAGCCACGTAGCTGCGCACCATTCACCTAAAAATCACACTTTTACTTTGAATTATCAAATAAATCAATCAATAAATGATATACAATCGGGGATTCTCATGAACAGAAACATTAAAATAGAGAATATTCCAGGTTTTATTAGGGACCTGGAGCCACTGGAGGAAATATTGGAGCTTGGGTTCTTCTGGGCTCGCCATTGCTTTGTTCTAATGAAGAAACTCTCAGTTCATCAGTTGAAACGTGGGTTGGGTTTTAGGCCATATCCACCACGAGAAGCGAGACTGGAGTTGAAACTTGTAAGAGGTTTTAGGCCATCACGCCAGGTGAGAGAAATGGGGTTTACAGATCACAAACGCGCAGCCTTGGCACGAGTTCCTTTATTACTTTAAAATCGCTAGCCCGGGGGGTCTTTTTATAGCTGAAAACGTGATCAAGTTCCTATTTACTGAAAATGAATTGCAAATTCAGATACTCAATATTGGCTTCCCCAACATTTCGGGAGTTTATGAAGGAAGAGAAAAGAAAAGAAAAGATAGCTTAGGAAAGAAAGGAAGAGAAGGGAAAAGATGCATATTTCGTTTGGGAGTTTAATGAAAGAAAAGAAAAGAAATCTCTTTCTCTTATTTGAGAGTTGGAGAGATATGGAAAGAAAGGATTTTATGATAACACAACTTTACATATTTGCCCTTTCTATTTGTAAATCAAAGTCCAAAAATTAGCTTTTTTGTTCCCATAAATAGATTATTTGGACAAGACAAATTTCTAAAACAATTGCATATGCATTCCCACAAGGTGAATAATACAACAAATTTCTTGCTGGATTTCGATTCTCTTGCATGCATGTAAATCGCCTCAAGTTTACCAGTAATTATTCGATTATCTCAATCTTCACTTCTTCACCACTTGATCCATCCTAATGTTTATAAATTTTTATTTGTTGATGGTTAATGCACTGACAAGCATGACGTTTGGCATTTAATATTGAAAGTTTTCATCATTTGATTTTTTTTTTAAAGAAAAATCATTCCAATAAAGGTATTTGAGAGTCAAATATCAAATAAGAACTTGGGACTCTCAAATAGCCAATACGTTTGCAATAGCCTGGGAACTTTGGCTCAACTCCAAATAGCCTGGGAACTTTGGCTCAACTTGGGACTCTCAAATAGCCAATACGTTTGCAATAGCCTGGGGACTTTGGCTCAAGTCCAGAGTAACCACATCCCAAACATATAAACACAGATAAAATATTTTTCTCAAAAAAGAAAGAGACTTTGGTTGTTAGCAAGAACCAATAAGTATGTTTATTGGTTGAAATACAATATTACATCCCAAACATATAAACATAGATAAAATATTTTTCTCAAAAAAGAAAGAGACTTTGGTTGTTAGCAAGAACCAATAAGTGTGTTTATTGGTTGAAAGACAATATTACTAAGTGTGTTTACTCTGGAGTTGAGCTGGTACCATAAAATACATAAACAAGATATACGTGGAATGCAACCCAAGTCAATAAAATGCCATGCAACCAAGTAACTCAAAATATACATAAACCAGGTTTACATGGAATTCAACTAGATTTCTTGTAGCATTCATATTTCCGAAATTCACATGAGCATTTACTCCTGATACAAAATAATTCTATCAATTTCTAAACAAAAATACACCCAATGATCTACATATTTTCAAAACATGAAATGTCCAGTGAGTAATTGGAATCATCTCCAATTTCCAAAACTAGCTTATATCTTCAAAAGTATTTCGAACATCTGATAACATGCTCATGTAGACAAAAGTGGCTAAAATCCATTCATCAATTTGTTCAAAATATTCCTACGCCTTTCCGATGGGCACCCAAAGAAGCTTCTTACTTTCTCGGTGTTTTGACAAAGGAACACATAATAATCATCAATCAGGTCTGTCTCAACTCCAATATTAACAAGTTCATCATAAATCTCTTTCTCTGAATATACCCGTGGCCTAGATTTTTCAAGAATAGTATTACCTTCTCTTAGTGCATCAGCAACATTGTGAAGTGCACCCTTCAAACTTTCAAATTCTTCATCACATGTGACTTTTTTTTTCTTACCTTGTGTTGCTGTTGTTCCTTGAGATTGTTGGTTGTTACATGCCTTTGATCGTTGTGCATCCAACTCCTTACTTGAATTATTGAAGTTCTCTAGACTGATCTCATTTTGACATAGCATGTCGTCAATCTCAATAATACTTTCAAACTGCACTCCATTTGGTTCATTCATCCAACGCATACGTTTCTCTTTCGCTGTTTCAGCACCCTGTCCTGTTGCCCTATCTTTAGCAAAAAGTTCTTCTAAGCTGTCATAATGGTTGATAACTTTAGTCTTCCACCTTATAGCTTCAGGTTTTTCCTAAGAACATGAAAGAAATTTGAAAAACAAGCATCATTTCAATGATAAAATAAAAAGCAATAAAGAAAGTAAAACTGTCAAGCTAGCATATACCTGTAGAAGTTGTTCCCAAACTTTAGGTTCAGCGCACCAAGTTTTTGTGAATGGATTCCAAGAAAAACCACTCAATTTTCCATTTCTAAAGAAATCATAGGACTCCTTGAAGTGTTCCTTGAGTGTCTTCAATCGATTCTTCAAATGGCTTTTGGTAAATTCTATTCCAAGTTTCTTCTTCAACTCATTGATAATATTATTGTATGCAGTTGGTGTAAAAGTTCCGTCCACACGAAATCCTTTATAATGCTGATCCAAAAGGGCCTGAATGAAGACTTCATCCATTGCTAGAGTCCATTTCATGTTTTCCTTCATAATGCTTGGATCTTTCTTCATGCTTTTCAAGTACACAAACTATATTTGTAGAAGAAAACATAACAAGAACAGAATTTATGTACGTGCAAAATAACAGTTTTATATTAATTCTATTATGAATACATGGTTCTATAGATCCAAAAACATACAAAATCATATTAGACAAAAGAAGATTCATGTGGCAACTTGCATTTATAAACTCACACTACTAATATAAGAGTACAAGTTAACAAAAGAAGGATCACATGACCACTTAAACAAAAGAAATTAGCATCAAGTCAAGTTATCATAGTATATAATCATTCCACATTTGCATTGCTATTTCATTCCTTAAACTCTCTCCTTGAGCATGATCTTTTTCAGCAGATATATCGCCACTTTTTTCCTCCGATGAAGATTGACGTGCCAATTCCTCATCCACTTCATTAATGTACTCCAAGTCAGGATCAAACTCCATGAGAAAATTATGTAATATACAACAAGCAAGCACAATTTGTGATTGTATTTCAACACTATAAGTTGGTTGAGTATCTCCAATGATTGGAAACCTTTTTTTCAAGACACCAAATGCTCTCTCAATTGCATTACGCAATGATGAATGTCGCAAATTGAATAGTTCTCAAAAGTTTTGCGGTTGTTGACTTGAGTATTCCTTCAAGTGATACCTTACATTTCTATAAGGTGTAAGAAGTCCCCTTCTCAACATGAATCCAGCATCAACAAGATAATATTTACCTATACAAATATCAAATAGTTACTACTTAATTAAATGCACTAAGAATAATTAACTAAGTATTACCATTAGGAATGATTAATTTATCTTCTCTAGTGAGCGCATTTTTTATGATCCTCGAATCCGATGCAGTTCCCTCCCAACCGGGTAGAACATATGTGAATCTCATATTCAAAGAACATGCAGCTAGCACATTTTGTGTTGGATGCTCTTTTCTACCACGATATTTTGCCGCATCAACGCTGGACACTTTAACGCGAACATGGGTTCCATCAATTGCACCCACACAATCCTGATAGTTATACACTATGTTAAAATATAATTTCTATATGAATTTACAATTTTTAAAATAAGGTGTCGAAAAATTGATATCACCTTAAAATATGGATAAAATCTTGCACTATTAAGTATTTCCGGAGGAACTTGTTCTCCCGTAGGCTGGTGAAGAAATTGATCCTCCAATGCTATAACTGCTCGTAAAACTCTATGAAAATGACGACTAACAGTTTCTCCGGAACGACGATAAAAGTATGACATTGTGATATTTTTTGAGGGAATTGTTAATATATGGAGAAATTTAACAACTTGCTCTTGCACCGTGGCTCTTTGAGTAGGTTGTAGACCACCATGTGTTTGCAATAAGTCACATAAGTGCCTAAAAGTTTCTAGCCCCATACGGATAACCTTACTCAAATATCCATTTGTACTAAGTTGCATCAATAATTCCTCTCGTACTAAATGGCATTGTGCAGACCGATATCCAATGGGTCGATCAACATAACTTGCATGACTTAGTTTTCGAGCAAGTATCATCTTTATTACATGACAAACAATTTCAGTAGCAATCAATTGTCGCTTCCTTTGTTGAATGTCAAATTCTCCATCGACTTCATTTTGTTCCTTATCCATCTAAAAAGATTTGTAATAGGATACTAAATTTACAAATGAATAGATAATTAAAAAATAGATTTTATTTATTTACAAAGGTTATGGCATCATTATCAAGTACAATGCTAAAACTCTAAATATCAAGTACAATGCTAAAATTCTAAATATCAATAGAAGAAGGAGTTCTCTAATAGTAATGTTTTTAAAGTGTTGACATAATCTATAGTAAATAATAAGAATAATGTAACATCCTAATACATAAAAGATGTTTTTAAATGAAGGTATTGAAACATAAATACTATTTTGTCTATTCAAACTTTATTGAAAAATTCTTCTTGCTCTAAATGAAGTTGATCACGCAATATAAATGATGGTCAGTCCTAGGTTCAGTTCATACATTGCATAGAGAGAGAGAGAGAGAGAGAGAGAGAGAGATGTTTGTGCATTGTGTCTCTGTGTTTGGGCAGGCTACAGAGAGTTGGTCTCGGTACGGCTTGGTTTGGCTGCATGTGAAGAACCAATATCAAGAAAAGCAATGTGGTGCCTTTGAAGATGTAATGTTCTCTTGGGATTTTGCACGTACATAATTTGTATGACCATTATAGCACTCAATTCTTGTGAAACTTTTTTTTTGCACCGTGAGTATCTATTAACAATGTAGGATTCAAAGTTTTTTTTTTATCTACTATATTGTATACTTGATTAATTTATTTGTAATAACAGAGCAAGGTATGAAAATTTAAAGAATGTGTCAAGTTTGTCGAACTCTGTGGGTTTGAGATAATTGAATTCCGAATTTTTGTACCTACATAAAGACAAAGTTTACATGGTCAGACTTGCAGAAGCTTCGGCAGTTTTAAACTTTACTATTACCAATCCTTACTTTGGACTGTTTTCAAGGCAATTTAAGGCTTATTATATACCCAGGATCGTAACTTGAGCAGGGACAAGCATGAAACCTCTTGGGGATGATGAATAAGGAGATCTCTAATTTTGTTTTTGAACATCAGCCTCCATTCAAAACAATACTTCTAGTATTACTATCTTTGTAATCATTTCAAAGAAACATGCATTATTACAATAACAGGGGCTAACATATTGTTTATGGACTCTGTGTTGATCATTTTACACTTTGAAGCTTACACAGGCAAATAAACAAACATAATGTATGCATTTAAATTTTATATTCATGTATCACCACCGAAACTTACATGTACCATAACCATGCAAGATATAATCACAAATCAATAATATAAAGATCAAGATTTCCCGCAGACAAGAATTTTATACAGAAAGTGAACAAAAAAATTTAGAATATAAACAATAACAATCTACAAAAAAAAATGCTTTTTCCATAATTTTCTAAAGAAGATTGAGCAAAGAAAGAAAGAAAGAAGAAATTGAGTCAAAGAAATACCTGTTATTGAATTGTAGGTGTTGAACGGAAGAAAGCCAAGTGAATCCAGTTGGAAGTATTGAAAGTAAGAACTGAGAAAAAGATGAATCGGTGGTTTTACAAATGACCTTTAGGATATATTGGGAATAATAAATTTTTGTATCAGCTTTTAAGGAACAAAAATGTCATATTAAAAATACCTTTTGCCGCCTAACAAGTTTCCGTCCATTTCTTCCCACTTTTGGGCGGAAAAATTTTCACCAATTGGAAGGGGTCCTATCCGTTCATTTCCCTTCTTTTCTGTCCATGGTAAAACTCCCAAATGAAGGAAATGGTACGGCTTTCTCTCTGGTCACTTTCTTTTCTGTCCTTTTCTCTCCATCCAAAGGAAGCCTTCAGTTGGTTTTGCTGGTCAGTCCACCTTTGGGGCTTCCATGGAACTGATGGCGTGCATATGATCTCAAATTTGAACTGGGTGGTTCAAATTTTATTATGCGTGAATATGAGTTTTTTTTTTTTTTTAAACCGTCTTTGGGCTGGTAGCCACCACCTAACTTGGTGGGGTGGGAGGTAAGAGTTTGGGAGGGGCCCTTGCCTCTCAAACCCTTGCTTCCCATCAAAATGTTACATTTAAGTTGTTTGTTTCAAAAAATTCAGAGGGGTGTGTTATGCACTCATTTTGTCTGGTGATGGTTCAGTCCCCTCCGGATTATTTCTGGACCTCCTTAGGTCCGCTCGCTCTCTCTTAGTGCAGAATAGATTAGGTTATACAACTGTTGTCGTCTCAAAAAAAAAAATGAATACGAGATTTTTTGTCCCACTATTTTGGGATTTATATTGTATTATTTATATATTGCATCCAAAAATATTCTCCTATTACAGTATAAACATCAATCTTGCAAACTGAAAAAATATATATGTCTTGCAATATATAAAATATATTCAAATCATTAATTGACTACATGTTTAAAAAGAAAAGAAAATAGAAACATATATAATTACCACCAAATAGTTGTGGGTATAAAAAAAAAAGTGAAGGATAGTTTCGCCCATTAAATCACAATTTTGCAAAGAAGGAGCGTCAAAAACATTTTCAAAAGTGCGAATATAATTTACCAAAGTTAGAATTACAAGCAACATTTTGTTTGTTTGGATAAAATACTTTTGATAAAATAAATCGTAATTAATATTTACCATACTTTAAATAAAAAATGTGAAAAAGCATATAATTAGCTACCATTAGAGCGTTACATATTTCCTATTTTCTGTTTTCCAAACATTTCCATAAGATAACAAATCCAGAAGTTTTGAGGATGGAATCATATATATCAAAAAAAAAATTTCAACTAAAAAAAAAGGCAAATCTTGTATTTTGACATTTTCCATACTAAAAATATAATCCAAAAAAAAAAGCAAGAAAATTACGCAAAAAGCTAGGCAAGTTACATGCTTCTGTTCCACTGCTCCTCCCCTCCTTACAGTTTCCAGACATTCTGTGGAAATCTGAGTCGTCGTGAACTGCAAGATTCACTTCCATCCAAAAGATGAGGAGGGTTAATTTCAGTGGACTAGCCGCCGTCTTCAGAGCCGCAGGGGGCGTTGCCGCGGTGTCCCCGGCGGCATCTACAAGCGCCACAGCCAGCCACCAATTTGCTCAAGTTGCTCTGTATAGTAGTACTACCAGCAACAACAATTCATATTCCAATGCAAAATCTCGCTGGTTTTTCGGTAATTATTCTGATACGGCTCTGAATTCCGGTTTCGCCGTTGCTGGAGCCGTTGTTTTCTCGGTGGCGGCTTCGTCGTTAACCCAAGAGGTTTATGCTAAAGAACCGTTGCCGCCCGATGTTCGCCCTGATGACGTCGTTCTTTATCAGTATGAAGCTTGCCCCTTTTGTAATAAGGTTAAAGGTGATGTCTTTACTGCTTCTCTATTTTTTTTCTCTTCAAAACCAAAAAAACAAAAAGTTTAGGGTTTATGTTATGGGTTTAAGATGTTGTATTCTAAAAATGGCAGTTTTGATAGAATAAAAATGAAATGATGTGTTTTTAGTTATTGATTTTGATTTAAGCTTTTTTGTACTGGATTTGCACCAATTCTGGTGATCCGCCATGAACTTTATGAAACTTTTGTTAGTAAAGAAATATTACAGAATCTAGAATCCAATCAACCGAATGGTTAAGGGACTATTTTCCTTGTCTTTGAACAAGATTTTGCACCCTTGCCCCTTACGAATTCTGATTTCATTATGGGAAAAACTGGAATAAAAGAGTGTTGTTGTGCATTCAATGAATTTGATGGTGTTGTTCAGAATGTGAATTGGGTGAGTATATATATTTGATGGTGTTGTTCAGAATTTGATGGAGGTGCTCAAGTGTCTGGCAATGAATAATCTATGACCTATTTGACTGTGGATACCTATGAGAGGATACATGATCGTTTGATTGACTTGGAAATCTACTCTAATAGCTGGGTATTCCACAATAGTTTTATGAAATTATTGGAGCCTGGATCAGGCAGCTCTGGTTGTTTGACCCACTGTATTAGGAGTTACACTTTGATTTTGTTCTACCAAGTGCCTAAAGTATGAACAAACATTGAGAAGCGTCAGGGTATAAATCTATATTTTGCTTTCTGAAAGTTAGTTGAGAATTTCTTTCATTAGCTACTTTTGCGTAGCTATGTGTGTTTTGTACTTAGTCGCTGCTTTGCTATTCTGATGTTTTCTTGCATTCTGTTATTGCAGCATTTCTCGACTACTATGATATTCCTTACAAAATCGTGGAAGTAAATCCTCTCAGCAAAAAGGAAATCAAATGGTCCGCTTACAAGAAAGTGCCTATACTTATGGTAGATGGCGAACAGATGGTTGATTCATCAGGTCTTTAGAGCTTTAATCTTAATATCTCTCTGTTGTTTACTCAGTAGTTCAAAATTTTTGAATAAGATCTCTTTGTATGCAGCAATTATTGATAAATTGTTCCAGAAAACTCATCCTAATGTACCTGTCAAACCAAGTCCAGAGGCTGATGATGAAGAGAAGAAGTGGCGCGAGTAAGGGTTCTTTTGATTTCTTTTGACTTCGGTGGATGCAGTTCTCAGAACTTGCTTTTTGCTACTCTTCAGACATGCTACTTCTTGTGAAATTGGATAATTTGGCTGAATTGTTTAATGCCCACCAGCTAATGAGTTGAGCTTTGCCGTACAATAGAAATGTTCTTGTGTTTCTCTTTATATATCTTAAAACTGTTTTAATTTCATACCTTTTTGCTTGAAGATCTGATGTCATGTATGCAATTGGATCCCTGTAGGTGGGTGGATAACCACTTGGTGCATATGTTGTCACCAAATATATATCGGAATACTTCAGAGGCC